GTTGTTCAGCATGGGGGTAAGTAGAAAATGAAGGCTAATCATGTTTTGGGTGTACTATTCCTTTAACCTCATTTGATTGATGGAAAGCTGCTCTATGATGAGCCTTGGCAGCACTATGCCTGGTTCTATCAAAAGCAGTTTTCAGCCTACCCTGATGTGGACGCAAAGCCACTGTAGGATTGAGTCGACTTAGAATGACCTCCTTTGGTGCCACCAAGATGGACAATGAGTGTTTGTGTCTGCTGCAGCATTGAAATATGTTACATTATAATATGTGAAGGAAGTTTCCAATACTTCTTTTTCTGTACTGATACTAGCTTTTTTTTCCCATCCCTGCTAAGGAAGAGGTATGATGAGAGATGAGCAGGGCAGGAAAAAGCCAATGGAAAAGAGGCATTGATTACCCATCCTGGACTGTGCTGCACATTGAGGATGATGGGAGTCTCAATACTGAGGTTTACCTGAAACCTACACAAACAGACCAATATCTGCAGTTTGATTTCTATCACAGGCTGCAACACAAGCTGTTATCAAACTCTGGGTTATTGGGTGGATAACATCCCCTCGGTTACCGGGGGCAACAAAATGAACTCAAACAGTTTAGGAAATCAACCAGAGGCGAAACAGCATCACAAAAAAACATTGTAATTCTATCTGCGTCAGTATGGAGGGAGTTCTGTCCCATTATTGTTGCATAGAACATGTTTTCTGAATGGATATTTGAAAAAAAAATAAATAAATTCAGAAAGAAAACTTTGAAAAACTTTAATAAGATTTTATATTTTTTTGGATATTATTGTTTGAATATTTTATTTCATGAAATAAAAATTTTTGCAACTTAAATTTTTACATTTTTTTTACAGATTTGATGATTTTTTTTTTTCATATTGAGTTTTACGAATTGCATTCTTTTCAAATTGTGTTTCAAAGATCACATTCTTATCTATTTAAGCCCAATTAAAGCACTCGCTCTTCAGCATCAAAGATGTTACTAATATCTATGCTTTTTAAAAACAATTTTATTTATTTAACTCAATCTGAAATACAAAAATTGAAAAAATCAAAATGAAAAGATAATAT